GGTTTATATATCTCAGATAAATGCCTTGATAGGTGCCCACACATGTCCACACCTGTGAGCCACCACCAGATCAAGATCCTGAACACGTCTTCTACAGAACACATTTCCCTATGCTCTCAAAAGGCTTGTGTCTGCCTTTTGCTCTCCTGCCTGAAACACTTTCCCACAAATGAAGATAGGTCTATTCCTTAACTCCTTTAAGTTCTTGCTTAAGTGTCAGCCTCTCAGGGAGGCCTGAAGACCTTATTACAAAACATAGAATCATTCACTGTATCTTGTCTTTTCTTCTGTAATTTATTATTTCCTTATCATATTTCATTGACTAACTCCCCCTCTTCTGTCTGCCCCTCCCACCACAGCTGTATGTCTGTTTTCCTTCAGTGGGAAGGAGCAAGGGCAGAGTCTGTGACATTTTGGCATTTCTATGACAGCAACACCTAAGTGTCTACATAATAAATATTCAGTAATTTGAATTGAATGTTTGCTATTGAGGGTGTAAATTGACAATGGTATATAGCTGCCTAAAATCCTGACAAATTCTCTAGTAGCTGTATCTTCAAACTATTCCCTTGTTTTTCCTGAGGTCCCTTGAACCTGCTCATTACGATTCAAAGTACAGCAAAAGCAAGGAGTGCAGTGGGGCTGTGGAAGAGAGAGCTGGAGGGGCAGTGGCTGCAGCATCATAGGGAGGAGTGCAGCGGGAAGTCAGTGGTCCGAGGCTGAAGGGAAAAGTTTTTTAGCTTCCCATTGGTGACCCCAGGGGATAGCTGATGTGTTCACTATCCCGAGCAGCTGGGATTCTTGGCTCCTGCTAGATTACAAGTTCAATGAACTAGGAAGTGCTGAGAATGTTGGAACTGGCTGGGTGTTTTTGTTGTGCATTAATAAAGAAAGGTCAGCAAAGGATATGCATAGATTTGCCAGTGTTTGACAAGGAACAAAAGTGCGATTTGGTTCATGAGGCGTCAATTGCTATGGAGAGGCTTTTTTTGAGACACAGTGAATAATTCCTTACTGCAGGATGAAGCTCAGAGGTTGCTGGGGTAGCTCACTCTAACTTGGGTCTAAAGCTGACACATGCTATGTGGCAGCAGAGAGGTGAGCAAGAAAACACATAAAGGGCAGAGAGGCAAAGCTATCTAATGTTCACGCTGGCTGCCCTGAAACAGAAGTTCAGCCATGATTTCCAGGTCCTTCCCCTTATCACCACACATATTCCCAACATTATTCACACACAACAATATGTGGTACAATCTGTTCTTAGAGACAGAAGAGCCAAGCAAAATCAGGGAGGAAATCTACACGACAGGAAGAGGGAGAGCGGGACTGAGAGCTAGACGTGGGAGAGCCTGGTGCATTTTTGTACTGATTATCTCCTAAAAAAAATTCATCACTTTTAGTTTTGAAAACTTTTCAAATTGAATTTTAACAATGTATTCCCATTGTTCTTTTCTTCCTTAGTCTGATACACCATAACCTTGTGGCTCTAACGGGCAATTAGAGCTCCATGCCCACATGGAAAGACGAGAAGACAGACAACCCAGAGCTTGGCTTTTGCTCCCTTTCCTTTGGTGAATGTCCCCCACCGTCCCACCCCATTTAACTGTGGATGTTTGTGACTAATCTGCCTCTTTCCCCTCCAGAGTCATAATTCCCTTCTCCAGTCCTACGTGGATCCACTCCTAAATGTTCATCCTAACTGCTGAATTCCTTCCCATTTTCTGTTAGACTCCTCATTATCTATGGAATAGACACTGGATCTGAACTAAAATTGAAGGTTAAGGAAGTTGAATGGACACATACAGATTCACACACACACAGGCACATTCACAGAGTCACTCACAGACTCACACATTCACACATATAAGTATCCACACACACACACACACACTCTCTCTCTCTCTAAATATTTATTTTGAAGGTTTCACTATAGTGTGTAGGCTGGCCTCAATTCACTACGTAGTCCAGAATGGTCTTAACACCTGATACACCTTTTAGCCTCTTGAGGTAGTTCAGGATTCAGGCATGTGCTCAGCTAAGGCTGAGGCAGAAAGTATTTTCGGCACCCCCCAGCTTCTAGCACCATCACAGAATATGGCTCATTGCCTTAAACTTTTGTTTTGCTTTAAAAATGTTTTAATAATAAAATATTTAGGCTTAATATTGCCATATTTACTTCAGGATTAACCCCCCCTCCCTTCAGACTATATTTGGAAGTCTCCCTTTGTACCCAGATTGCCTCCAAGGAGGAGGTAGGCATTTTCTTGTTCTGAAGTCAGTTCCTCCCAGAAGCAGAGGCAAAGCAAAGGCTGATTAGTATGATCTGGGAGGCCACAGACAGTGGTATGGAAGAGGGACCTGGGTCAGGAGAAGAAAGGTGGCTATTCTTGAGGGCAACTGCAGCTTGCTCTGTGGGGAAGCGTTGGGATATGATCTTGGTGATAAGGACAGGACCTGGGGTATGCCCATTGCTCACTGTGTTTCTAATTTATGTGAGAGGGCAGGGGCTCTGGCTGAGGGCAGCCTCTTGACAAAGGTGTTGGCTGCTGGAAATCAGTGTGGTGTGCACAAAAATGGCATGGGATACAAAGCGACGTGGGTGGGACCCTGAGAACATCTGCAATAGCAGGATCCAGCCCTCAGATTTCTGCTTTCCTAGCGTAGTTAAATATCATTCTTTACGATATTATATGATCATTGTTGAGGTCCCCGACAATGATGATGGGAAAATGACTATAAACTAAACTGGTTTAAAAATTTTTATTTATAGTCAATGCAAAAAAGGAAGACAGGGGCTAGAGACATGGCTCAGTCATTAAGAGCACATGCTGCTCTTAGAGAGTTAAGTTCTCAGCACCAACACTGAGTGGCATACAACCACTATAACTCCAGCTTCGTGGGTTCCCACTGGACTCTGGACTCTGTGGGTACCAGGCATATGCATATATTCACACAAACACACACACTTATACACATAATTAAAAAAACAAAAAAATCTTAAAAAATGAAAAAAGGAACACACTTCAGTTTGAAGAGTTGTTTAACTATTAGTTGAACTTATATCATGAACTTCATGGGTTCTCCTTCATAGAAATAAAGGCAGAGAAATAAATTACATACCATGATTTATTTTAGCTTGGTTCCATTCCTCCTTACACTTTGACAAAAATATAATTTTCTCCCTTGTCCACCCTCCTCTTCCTTCTATTCCACATCTGCAGGCTTAAATTGTGGCTGATATATAAGATTACAGGTCTTGGCTCAGAAGGTTAAATGCCCTCTCAAGTCTCTTCTTAGCTGCAATTCACTGGCCTTTCTGCTGTTGATAAGAAATGAGGTGCAGGTGTGTGGTAGGGCAGGGTGGAATGGAGGGGCACCACAGTGAAATCAAATCCCAAACCCAAAGACACTGGCTATTCAGAAATGCAGAAGTCATTCAGCAAACTAGGAATGTTTTTTGTTTGTTTGTTCCTTACTACCAAAGGACCTCAGAAGTAGAAAAAATAAAACCACAAAACAATATGCTTCCTATTTCTTTTTGCAGAAACCAAAGGGATTTAAAATAATCCTTAGATAATACTCTTTGCAGACTCTAGCACTTGATAAACACAGACTTCTCTATTTAAGAACTAGCAGACAGAAAAATTGCCCCATAGCTTAAAAGCCCTAGTAGTCCAGTAGACACTGTCTAGAGACTCAGAACAGTCACGTGTGTAACTAACACTGTTAAACAGGAAAAAAACAGATCCAAGCCAGATGTGGTGCACACCTGTAGGCCTGGCTGCTCTGGAGGATCATATCAACTCAAGAGTTTGAGACCAGCAAGACTCTGTCTCAGAACAACAAAAATGAAATTTCTTATTGAGATTCAGGAAGATAGCCATCAAATTTCATGTTTCAGATCAAAGTGATTACAGGATTTGAAAGTCTAGGTATAATCGTTAACTATAGAGTGGACTTAGATCAGAAATTATTCCACTAGGAAATGAATGTAGACTATCTTGATAAAAACTAACTTCTGGGAGTTATATAAGCTCATATTTAAAATAGAAGTAGTAGGGGCTGGGGAAATGTCTTGGGTTTATTGTGCAAGTGTGAGTGCTGAAGTGTGAATCCTCAGAAACCTATGTAAATGCCCAGTGAGCATGGTGGCCCTCCAATAATTTGAGCCTCTGAAGGCAGAGATGGGATCCTCAGAGCAGGATTAGCCATATCAGTAAGCTCTGGGTTTGACAGAGAGACTGAACTTCAGTGCATAAGGTGGAAAGAGTGACACCAACCTTAGGCTTACACACACACATAAACACACACACACACACACACACACACACACACACACACACACACACGTCAAGGCAGTAATGTTTTCACAAATAATTTCCTACTGTTTTTCTACTTTATTCCATTTCCATAACAAACTTGTAAAAGTAGAGCTGGGAGATAGCTCAGTCAGTACAGTGCTTGCCACACAAGCGGAAAGAGCCGAGTTCAAGCTCCAGAACCCACATAAAAAGCTGTGCACAGTGGTGTGTGCTTATAATCCCAGCACTGGGGAAGGGAAGACAGGAGCATCCCTGGGGCTCACTGGCCAGCCACCCCAGCCTACTTGGTAAGCTCTAGGTCAGGAGACCCTCTCTCTAAAACCAAGGATGGCTCCTGTCGCACACACCCAGGGCTGTTCTCTGTCCTCCACATGCACTCTTGCCCACATGTGTACCCACATGGACACACAACACTTACAAAAGTATGTAAGAAAACACATTTGAACAGTATGTAACAGTAGGAATAGATATCACATAGAACCACTGTTCTTAGCCTTAAAAACTGTTGTAGTTATTCTACCAGAAACTTTGAATCCTCTTATAGAAAACTGTGCTTTGATACAACACAAAATTGGTGTAAAATTCCAGGAAGACATGGATCCTCCAAACCACAGGGATTGCATGTTTATCCGACCCTCTGTCCAGAGAACAGGAGTGTTTTATTTGATGTGTACTTACATTGTACAGAGGGATAGTCTTCATCACCTTGTACTGCTTAGTGGGGTCCATTTTGTACAGGTGACGGTCAGTTACAAAAATTGCTCGGTCTTCTACCTTACTAAATCGATTCACCTGTTAAAAACAAACAAACAAACCAATAAGCCATAGTAGCTCATCAAAAGGGAACTAAGTTGCGTTTGGAAACACCTAGGCTCAGAGGCGCTGACTGTGGAGATGAAGTCTCAGTAGAAGGTCATCATGGATGGCACTCCGTGATCTCAAAGGAATGGTGGTTTCCAGATATGCTGAGTATGCTGAGTTTGGCAATAATTTTTCTTTACAGCTTAACAGGGAAAGTCCAGCAAATGTAGAGCATGGGGACTAGGAATATAAAATGTAGACCCTGCCACGGAAGTGAACAGAACACCCAAACATAGGGAGAAGAGGTTGTGTAAATCACATCTGATAAGGGATGTGTATCTAGAGCATACAAAGATCGAATTTAACTCAGTAATTTAACTCTGCATATGTCATATATACATATATATTCTCTCTAGAATTTATGCCCCCCCCTTCTTATTTTTAAGATATCAACAAAGAAGTTAGAGGTTAATCTGAAAACACTGTGCTTTGGTAGGATATTCAGATAGCTGCATTCAGACAGGCAGGGCTATGGATAGAAGGTTGCAAACCAAAATTGAAACTTGACATGGAAATTTATCTCCTCTCGTTTGCCTTGGTTTTAGCCATCAGTCGGTTCTCTAAACATTTACTCTATAATAAAAGCATAATTTTTATTCTTCAACATGACAGTAAGTTGTGCCTATGATTAAAATCGAGTCTACATGGTAAGTGTAGAGTTTGTGTGCTCGGGGATTACTCTGCAGAGCATCTGTTTTTGCCGTGACATACATGAAGTGCCTCCCCCAACAGTGCTCCAGAAGATCTGAGGCATTGAGTGTAAAGTTCCACTTAGCGCTTCTGCACAGCACTGCTTTCTGCAGAGTTTTGTGGAAGAGAGGGTCCCACGGTCTGCATGGATAGATAGATACTGCAAACCACAGCTCTTGCTATGATATCCAGAAAGTTATCAAAGGTTCCAGGAGTCTGCATACGTTGAACTCACTTTTCCATAGTACATTTAATCTATGCAATCCGTTTTGAACAAATGCCTATTAACATTTAACAAAATGGTTCTATGAAAGCCGTTTTGGAGAACATCATCATTTTCATCAAGCTTTCACTGTATAGAACCAAGAACATCTAGCATAGGACCTGAAAAATAAATGGAAACAATTCCCTTCACCTTTTATGAGCTCATATGGAGAAACAAACAAATGAGGTGCAAAAGAATGTAATTTTAAAACCCCGTTATCCAATCTCATGAGATCATTTGAGTTGAGACAAAAAGGCTACATGTCCTTTTTATGATAAATAATGAGTTAATCTAAAAACAAAAAAAATAACTCTCAAAGCAGATACTGTACTGAAGCTGCTCAGAAATATTGTTCATATGAACAAAATGCAGTTTCCACAGAGACTAACAAATATTTACCTTTTGTTTCAGCAACTCAAATCTTAAAACATAGATCAGTTAAGTGTCAAAGTCATCCTGTCAGACAGCATAAAAGCTGTAGATTGCTTAATGTGGTCTACTGACACAAATATGAAAACATTCAACACACATAGGTGAATCTCTGTTTAACACCAGAACGATGTGAGAACACTCTTTTATTTTATATTTATTTTCACAAAGTGATAGCAAAGCTGGATGGCAGACTCAGAACTAGACAAGACTTCATTTTGTTTTTTTGTACCCAAAGTTAAAACCCTCTTCCCAGGAAAAAACTTCTGATTTCTCTAGCCACTTTAAGGAAGCTGTTTGTAGTTCAGTTGTTTCCATAGGAGTCAGAGATGAAGCTTCTGCAGAGTCAGAGCAGAGCAGATAGACAGCAGGAGGAGCTATTTGTAGTGGTCTCTCACCTTAACAAACACTTTATAATAACCGTTGTTAATGGAAAGCAGCTGCTTCAAAATAATACACTCACGAAGAGGAGGGCTTTTTGGAAGCATATCAAGCTTGCCTTGGTGTACCTTTGGGAATGAAAGATTCTACACAGACATAATCTAAGGGTGTTTTGCACTGAACTTAGAAATACAGAACCAACAATAAAAATTCATTTTTTACTCATCAGAACCCAGGATGGAACTGTCAGGCATTAAACTGTCTTCTCTGGAATGAGAGATGTCACACTGGGCTTTTCTAAAAATGGCTGAATTCTCAGAGCCACCCAATTCACTGACTGTTCTGATTGCCAGATACCATGAAATAAGAAACGAGAGTGTGTATAACCTCCCTCCCTAGGCAGTAGGGTCAGGTACATTCTTGGGTTGCAGGCACACACAAGAAGTATGACTGAAACTTTTGTGTGTGGTTGTATACATCTGGATAATAAAAACCTTCTTTTGACCGTGTGATCATCTATCCCCAGGAATATTCAATAAACAGAGTTCCTGGATTACAGAGTTCAGAACTAGGATCTAGAGTGGAGACCAGCTGATTATACTGCGAACTTTGCTCAATGACATTTATTTCAGCCTCAGTCTGCTGTCCTGCTATTCGCATCACTTGGACTTGAACTCCTCTATACAGTGTTCAAACTGATCACGACACACTGCATATATAAAATCTGAAACATTCTGAATGTCATGCCAGCACTCAAGATGTTCATATTTCACAACATTTCAGATTCTGAATATTCAACCTGTACTATTGTCCCTGGCTCCCAATACAGAGTTCACAAAACCCTTGCAATAGGAGTCATGGAGGCTGGTTGCCAAGACCAAGGCATGATTAGAAGGCTGAACTTTCATTCAGTAGCTCTACCCACCCCCCACCCCCCCTCCCGGCTAAAGGTTTGGAGAGCTCCCCAGATGGCAAAAGTTTCCACAGGGCCAGGAGGGCACAACATTTCCTTTTAATTGTGGTGGCTAGACCACTGACATTTAATATGATGGTCAGTAAGGCTAGTTTTAAATTTATCTTCTTTCAATTTATTTATTTGTCCAATTTATTCTTTGTTCCCTATTGCACAGTCCTGCATTTGTATGCACTGAGGCTTGTTTGTCTGTATTTCTGTTTGAGAGGTTCTAGGGAATGGAATTCCGGTCCTTGTGTGCATTAGGCGAACACACTATCTGCTGCTGAGCCCTGCACTTGCACTCCCGGCTTCTCCTCCCTTCCTTTCTGTTCTAAGATTTATTTCATGTGAATGTGTGTTTTGCCTACATGTAGGTGTGTGCATTAAGTGTATGTCTGCATACAGAAGACAGAAAGGGTACTTGTTCTCCTGGAACTGGAGTTACAGACAGTTGTGGATGCTGGGAACGAACCCTGATCCCCTAAAAGTATAGCAAGTACAGTTCAACCACCGAGCCAGCTCTCCAGACCTCTGTATCCTTTCTTGATTTGTTGGTAACAACTTGTTTTGTTATTTTTGTGGTTTTGCCAGGGTTTATACAATACAGTCATAATGCTTGCTTTTCTGCTGATGCTATTCTGTGTACAGCATAAACGCTCACACATTTCCTTTTCTCCTTTCTGCTTGAATGATGTCTTCTAATTCTTCCTACAGTATTCAACTTCACACACGCCTGGAAAAGTTTTTGTCACTGTAGTTCTTGAAAGATACACTTGTTGGGCATTAAGTTCTAGATTAACTACTCTTTCTTCAGTATTCAAGATTCCCCCTCTCTGCTCTTCTCACTAAAGCCCCTGTTCCCTCCCTCCAGCCTCTAGGGTCTTCAAGCCTACTTACATGGATGCTACATGAAGTCAGATGTCTTTTTTTTTTTTTTTTTTTTTCAAGACAGGGTTTCTCTGTGTAGTCTTGGCTGTCCTGGTACACGCTGTATAGACCAGGCTGGCCTTGAACTCAGAGATCCACCTGCTTCTGCCTTCTGAGTGTTCTGGGGGTTTGTTTTTGTTTTAATGCTTTATTTGGAGTCTATTTTGTTGTTGTTTTTCTGTGTGTTTAGTTCTGGAAAGTTTTATTGCTGTATTTTCAAATTTACTAATTTTTCTTTTAAAGAATTTGTCAATTTATGTTTATTCTGTACGCGTGCCAAAGGTGCACGTGTTGCGGGTGGAGGACAACTTTGTGGAGTCCTGTATCTCCTTTCATCTTTGCTCGGATTTCAGGGATTGAACTCACAAGGCACCAGGACTGGGCAGCAAACACCTTTCCCATGTGAGCCGTTTCAGTCCAAATCTACTAATATTTCTTCTACAGGGTCTAATCTACTGTTAATATTATTGACTGCATTTTCTCTCATATTTTTCATGTTTATAAGTTCAACTGTAAGTCACTTAAAAGTCTTCTAGGCATTTATTAAATATGTCCAATCTTCTTTCAAGCCCTTTGAATATGTAAAATAGAATGTTAATAATTGCCTCAATTATTGTTAACAATTGTCTGTGTCTTCTTGGATGACTGAGTTTTCATTTCTTTATGAATTCAACGTCTTGTTTGTAAGGTTGTTGACTGGATGAATTGCATTCTGAATTTTACATCTGAGTGCTGGATATTTCTGTACTTCCAGAAACTTTGAGATTTCTTGTGTGTGCTGTTTGACCACTTAGAGACCTTTGACCCTTTCAGGAAGTGCTCTTAAGGCTCATTCTGGAGGACAGGAAGGAACGATTACTCCCCACACTGCTGCAGATCCTTCAGTGGTCTATCTAGTACTCCTGAGGTCTCCAATATGGCTGGAGGGTTCAGGCACTGGGCGACCTCACGGAGCACTAATGTGACCTCCTCTCCTTTAGGGATGCTGGTCCTTGCCCAGCCTAGAGTGGTTTCCCTCGTACATGTCTATGTGCTTGGTGTCTAAACCAGACCCTCTAAAGACCTACAGAATTATTTCCATGCAGTATTCTCTTCTCTTCTCTTCTCTTCTCTTCTCTTCTCTTCTCTTCTCTT